ACCGGGTCGATTGCACGTGATAAATCGTCGACGCTCGTCGAAATTCTCATTTGTTGCTTTTATTTGTATCGTATCACATGGCGATATCAAAGTTCAGTGCAAACAGGTTAAATAAAATATACACTTTCAGGGCAAACATCAGACACGGTCGAGCGTTACGACAAGCTGTGTATTATGATACAAGCGGAGCAAGATTGTTAACATAAAAAAAAAAAAAAACACTCATGTACTTTACAGCTAGTGAAAATGTCTGGAAACGAGTTTTACACATTCGATACTAACCGCAGTGTGTGTGGTTTTTGTTCGGCATCGAGCTAGTTACAGAGTATACTTTTGGCCGAACCCGATAATATTGTAAATACCTAATGATTAATTAAATAAGAAAAATTAAAATAACGAATACGTTGGTTGCCGACGTGGTCTGTAACACATCGATATTGCTATTGCAACAGATGTTGGCCGCGTAAAGGATATTTGACTACCACGTGTGATGATAACATTCTGTACTTGACAGCGCCGTCGTCAACGGCGTACTTATCGGACGAGTTTCAAGTTCAATAATATTATAAGAGGTGACGGCTCATAATGTATGGTGTAGTAGCAAATATAGTAGCTTAGGCTAATGGGAAGCCAAGTAAGAACCGGTTGTAAATCATCGCTGCAATCAACCGGCTCGTATAATATCAGCCAGCGCTGTTGTTTTTTTATTATGTGTATAAAGCGTGTAAGAATATCGAGTGTGTAAAATATGTATTTAAACGCGCGCATCGATATAATTGCTCGGGGTGTCCGTGTAACGAAAGCTAGTAAAATATATAAAAAAATTACCACCGAAACGTCCGATAAACGTGAACCTTGTTAACAAAATTTAATGACGAAATATGCTTTTAAAATGTATTTATGAATTTATAACACGGTGTGCGCCAAACGAACAACTCATCACACAAGTTATCTACGTCAATTCAGAACGCGTTTAGGAATGAGCCTTTTAAATGGACTAACTGTAATGAAAAATAACGTTTCACAGACAATAAATTAAACGCATCACGATGTGCAATGTAATTTACACTGAATTTATATCACGGAATTTCGGTTTAGATATTTGAGACAATATGGTCTCGGCCACTGTATGGCGGTTATCCTTATAGAACAAAACATATCATATTTATACATACTGCTGTTTTGAGTCGAGGTGTTTGTGAGATTAATGATCTTGTAGACACCTTTTTTTTTCTTTCGGGAACGTTTAGAAGGAATTACACGATTTACGGTAGGAGGGCACCACAGGGGGGAACACATTGTTGGCGGTGGCCAGAGACGGTTGCCGCGCAGTGCAATCGGTTAAGTTTACCATTGCCGCCGAGTAGTAGTGTGTTGTATTTTTTTTTTTTTAATCAAGGAACATCATTAAGTGAATTGAAATCGGTAATATTCAGGGTAAAGTACGACATGTTAAAAACGATAGGCAATTATATAGAACAAAGTACAAATAACACGCTCTATAGAAATCGGGTGTTACTTTTTTCACACGTTTCCAAAATACGATATGAAAACGATTATTTCTAATGGAATACTTTATCGTTTAACTCGAATATGAAAATATGAATTAGACTTTGCGTCGCTATCGATAAAAATGACTTCTACATGAAGTCTAAATAAAAATAAAACGTTTTATATATAAATTTATTGAAATAATAATCGGCAGCAACGAGAGAGTTGATATTTTTTTACGGGTTGGCATTAATATTATATTATATGATAAAAAATAAAACTATGATGTGTGTCCGCGTAACTGTTATTGATCTAGAGTGACGCGTTTTCAAATGGGTCAACTCTTCTTATTTTTGTCGTTAAAAGAACAATAAATTTGTCTTCTTGAAGTTTTTGCTATGGAATGCCACCAGTATTTAAGTTTTATTGATCTCTAAACTGGTTAGAAGTTTTATGGTCCAGCATAGGCAAATTTGTTATTTATATGGGAAAATAAAGAAATAAAAACTCAACCAGAAATCACAGCAGTTAACGACTTAATTTTATACGAACACTTAATTTAAACTCATTGCTTGATCGCTGCCGTCATTGGAGACATTTCGGATACAAAGAGCGCGTGTGTTACGTTACTCTGCATAAGACATATTGTGTTATTAACCCCTAATAAATGTTCAACCGGCTTAGCATACTAGTTTATCTGAATGCTCTGTCGACATGATTTCAGTTGTTCTCGATGCGTAACGGTATATTAATAACATAATTTTGTTAATTCTGAAATATTGAGCCCAGTGGAAAATACGACTCTAATTATTTTTATTGCGCGGTCGAATTTCATCGGGAGGCAATAAAAAATGTTAATATTGCCGTGGAGATCGATACAAACAGCATCGGTCGAAATCGAATCACACAATCTTGTTAAACGAGTTAAGCACAATGTCGTCCGTTGGAATAATGTTAGAAAATTAAGCTGCGCAGATTGACAGGAGGCGACTGCCTTAGGTGCCTATCACAGCTGAGTGTACACCGACAACTTAATGTACTCGGTTTATTTAATTTGATCAAACGACGCGCCAATTTTTTCCTCTACAAAGTCAAGGCCTAAACTGATGTAGGCGACGCCCGCAAGAGCGATTCCGTAACTACAAACATGTAGTGTTATTGTAATGTTTTTTAGCCGGAAGGCATTTCATATAATTGTACGGATCACATTATTTTGCACTCGCAGAGGAGAGACAAAGTCTTGTTCTACGTCGTACAATAGAACCGACTTCGATGCCGCTTTTGCAATCATAATATTGTAATAATATATCATTATACGTTAGTACATGAAACGCAACGTTTATTATGTTGACAATAATTAATATTATTGGAGAACCGTGTTGCATTCCGCTTGTTGTCAACTTCCCGGGTTACACACACGCCGGGTACATTATCATTTTTTTCCATTATTACTTCCACAGCAAATGTAACAGCAACAACACACTTATAGTAGCGTAATGTGTACACAGGTACAATATTGGCGCACTTATTCCCACAAATCCGGTAAACACGAGAAACTACAAATCCAACTCCTCGGTGTTTTTGCCAATGATGTTTTACTCGTAAGTACGTTGACACTCGGTAAAAACAACGCGTTTCTCCGAATACAAATCCAAATTAAACTCGAAGACACTATTATCATATTATTCGCGATCACCGAAAAAAAAAAATGTAATAACGTTCACTCGAAATTTATCGAACCGGTTTACTTATCAATTAATTGAAAAATAACAGTATTAATTAACGAGCGGACAGTTTTAAGGTTGGACGATTAAAAGTATCGTTGTATGTTTACTTAGCATATGTCAGTTGAATAAAATCACGATATTTTACTTTTATTACATAGTTGATTAGAAAATGTAAAAACCATGTACAACTAAAACCAATTCACAATATTTTTATATTTTTTTACAACTAGTTTTATTTAAAGTCTACCATAATCGCACAACTAATAATTTTAATTTGGAACTTGTTATATAAAGAGTACATGAATGGTACCAGTCAAATTCTGATTTTATCGTTTGATTCGGATGCCAAATTAGCAGTAGTATCAAGTTATGAAATCCATAAGGTAAAACTATTTTTCTTTTTTCTAATATTTAAGTGTCTAGTTTTGTTTTGCCATTAAAAATATAGGAATTTATAAACTCATTTTTGCTCTCCTGAAAAATATACAGAAATGGACCATTACCCCTCGCGCCCTTTAAATTTAACAGACTTATCTATTTAAAAAAAATGAAATTCATAATTTGATCAACTGCTGCGCTGTGTATTTCTCGTTCGACAATCGAACGAACTCGGAACGATTTTTATGTAAATCGGTATATCAGGTACAGAATGTCCCGTCAGGGGCATGTCTACTCCAAGTGAGGCCGTTCGAGACCAAACACATCATAATACCATCAAAGTCCAGTAGCCGAAGCGTCTCTCGGTATATTATCTCTTTCTTCGACATAACGTTCGAGGTGCCATTAACGGGCATGCTACTGTCGGGTGTTCGGAATACGACGACCTGCCTATATGTAATAATATATTATAATAACGGCAGAACCAGGTCTCGTCACTTTGGGGTCGGCCCGAAGCATATTTGATGTGACGTGCAATGGGAGGCAAAAACACGAATTCCATTAACGTGGGATTAAAAAATAATAATATCGGTCCCAGAAATCCCGTCTAAGCGACCGCCTACCTGGAACGGTATGCTTAAGAGGCATACAATATTTGTTGAAAAAAAAACAATGGCCTCGGGTCTAAGACAAGTGAAGTGCCTAATGAAGTTTAAAAACATTAAAATATGATTATGCTTTGCGAGCGACATTTTCGAGTATTTTTTTCGAAGAACAATATTTATGTTGTTGTTTATGCAAACGACTAGATTTCTAAAAAAATATTTATTTGAAACCGAGATCAGCCCTTATTTACGATTGCTATTACATAGTTATGAAGCGAAGCAGTTTGAATGTTTTGTTAGTTTATTGCGAAATGTATTAGTAGTGTTTAAACAGATTAGCTACGGACGATGAAAAATTAAGGAAGAAACCGTAACCAGACGATATAATGCAATAACATTGAAAACATTTAGAATGATAGTGTCGAGATAAAAACTGGATACGTTCAAACGTTACAAACTCATGAAAAACATGCTGTGTACAGGTGGCAAATCGTTAATTTCGGTTCTCGCTATAATATCAGACATTATTCCACAATGAATTATTTTTATTGCTCTTTAAAGGTAACTCTTTCGTTGCCTAATTTTATTTTATGGTGCATGTGTGAGTTTAAAAAAATAACAAACTAAATAATAGTTTGCGCGGGCACACTATCTCTGAATAGTTACTGTCGTTTCACAAGCTTTCCACATAAAACAACATATTTTCTAATTATTGTTTTTGTTTTGAGATAAGTAAGAGTTGCGGTGTTATTATGATGAATACCTACTGTGAATAATGAAACAAAAATAATCAACTTACCGGTGTGAAGAAATAGGTGGTTTTTCAGATTTGTGTGTTTGCTGAATCCGCGGTTGCATATATGACATTTGAACGGCCACGACCCGTTGTGGACGTACATATGAGATTTCAGATCACCGGGAGTTGGGAATGACTTTGCACACAATGTACATTTGTGTGGTTTTTCCTGTGAAAACAAAGTTTATTTAATATGAAATCACTTATTATCCGTGTCATCCGTTAACTGAGATGACCACCACTGTTACCAATTTAAATAATTAAGACATTAGAATAAGTAATAAAAATATAATCGTTGCTATTTTATTATTCTGGCTGTCAAATTGACCACTCTATTTTCGTATACGCCTTTAATAACACTTTGCATTGATTTGAGATCGTAAACATCGACCGGACCTTATATCCGGATCGATTTAAGTAATTGTGATAATCAAGCAGCAAAAATAATAAACACAAAAGTAGGTCTTCCAATCAAAGTAATAAAATTAAACTACATTAGTATGTAAATAGCAATCATCACACCACAACTGACAGAAAACACATAAATTATCAGAAAGAAAATGGTCTATTTCTTTTTTAAGTAATAAAATATGAAATCAAAATTGTGTGCGTAGTACAGATATTTTAATATTTCATTTGATTTTATCGACCGCTAAAGGCAGATATTTATAATGTAGTTATGATGTTAATTGAGTAAAAACACTCGAGTACGGAAAGATCGTTTAACCACCTGTTCGGCTTACGTCAAGGTCGAAAGGTTCACATAGACCACTGCAGCGGTCATCCTCCCGAGGGCACACTCGTCTGCAAAATGCACTCTTGAGATCTTACTCGCGTGTTGCCTCTGTACCGGTTTTCAAATGTATTAGACTATTTTACATTATACTCGATGGTAAAATAAAGAAAACACAATAATAATTAACCCATAGGTTATTATAATATCAGAGCACCTGCTGCCGGTCACCTGCGATGGCAAATTGATGGGATTTCGGTATCCTCACATTTGGACGGAAGTTTAATTTTCCTCTCTCTCTCTCTCTCTCTCTCTGACTGAAAACAATCTCGAATAATCGGACATCTCGATCGACATTTCCTTCTGTTCGTGTTACACGCGATACACGCAGGCGCCTCGGTCTTGTCCATTCGGATAAATGGATTTCTAGTAGTCGCGTGAACATCGCGGTCCTAGCAGCTACCTAACCATCAAAGAAAAACAACTACAGCCACCGGAATTTCGTTATTTCTCCAGAATTGTATAACGAAAATTATTAAGGTGTATAATATGAATAGTTACAGCGGATACGTTGCTATGCGTGCAATAAATTACAGACTGCGTTTTCGACTTTTCGTGTTTTGAGGTGTATGTGTTTTATACCTATGAAATATGAGAGTTAATATTTTTAACGAGAAAAAACATTTTTTTTTTTTTTGCGGCAAACCGTCTTGAGACAATTATTTTATAATGAATCACATTTCTGTTTCAAAATATTAAATGAAGTCGAAAAAAATCTCGAAAATACAAATTGTATTTAATGAAAGCATATTGAATTTTTTTTAAAGCAGTTAAAATATAAATTAGCATTGAAAAGCTACGATTGAAACCGTAAATATTATTTATTACATTACGATGTGTTTATAATTATGTTGGGTACGTAAAATGAGCAGGAAGTAATTTTCCGTTTATGAGTTTATCATAACAATATGGGATGTGTTTTTTATTGAAACAGTTATAACTTAAGAAATTGAGTGTGGAAGTGTTATTGTATTAGATTCTAATGGATGAATTGTCTGACCCAAATATTAGCGTCTGACGGTATCCTAAAAAGTAGCGTGCATAACGGGCGGCCTCTTAATGAAGAAAACACCAGGAAAAGGTGATGGTACACAAAAAAATTGACTGTCGGAACGAATCGTAAGGGTATGCCACCTGTCCACACAGACATACGTGCTCTTTTTATTCCGTTTGGTGTCTTGAAGATCTCCACAACATGAGGCGTAACTAGTAATTTAATGATTGTGACTTGGCCGGTAATTATTCGATCAGTACAGTTTACTTTTTGTAAGGGTAACATACAAAAGATACTCGATATAATAATGTTCCATGTGGGCCCATAACAAAATAAGAAACATGTTTTTATAATAATAATCATACTGAACATGACTTCTACGAGGATCCTTCGACTATTGTTCCTATTGTAAATTCATCAATACAAACGGGAAACCTGGTATGCGGCGATCATTTTATTTCTGCAGACAGAACTATAATTGGCTAACAAATTTATATTTAATCTTTGATACAACGACTTTGAATAAAAAATTATAAGTTACTGAATACAACAAGTTATTGTCTTGGAGCTTTCTACATAAATTAAAAAAAACGATTAAACTAAAAGTTTATATTCAGAATAATATTTTATCGTCCTTTGTGTGTTTAAAAAACATAAATTTTTAATGTAACTTATTTTCCTATAATGTTTATAATATTTAAAAATTAATTAAAATTCTTAAATAACGATCAGTCATTCTTGTTTTGTCAACATTAAAATATTTAACGAACAAAGATGGTGGCAGAAAAATGAAAGCTATACCGAAAAAATTTAATCCAAAATAAAAAACACATTCTAAATTCAAATCAGCTTATTTAAAATAGTTCTCTACGCTTAAAATAACATTTTTAGTTTAATCCTTGAATTTTTAACGTTTTCAAGTATATTAAAGTTTGAAGCAAAAAAACTGGAACCCGTTTAAATTAAGTACATTATGTGATTTCAAATTGATAACACCACGTTCAGTATGTATTTGAATAAATTAGCTACCCATTTTTGTTAGTTTCCAGTCAATGTGTGGGGGTGTTGTGAGAATTGTTACTTGGACCGTGTCCAAGATGTGTGTTTTTTTACGGGGTTCCGGTCTGTCAGAAACCCCCTTTTTTTAGGGGGAAGTAGAAGAATAAGATAATAGCGATTGTTATAAACCGCGGCCACGGCAGTCAGTATTGCCGGTGTTTTGGTTAAGACGCATACACAACGGAACACCATATGGTTTGTGAAATAGGAAATTGCTCTTCAAACGCCCAATGTATCTTATATAGAAGTACGCACGATATATATTCAGTCGTTTCCTTGAAAACAACACGCACGTTATGTAATTGCTTTTTTTTTTTGTATTGTTGTGTGACAGTTGGCTAACAAAAAATTACAAACGAACTTACAATATCGCTCCGAGATGCACCTGACAAAATATGCACATGAAATAATTCTTTAAACAGTTAAGCTCTGTGGCTATGAGAAAATGTAAATAATTTTGAAATTTAAACGATAAATTTCAAACAGTAGTATGATCAATAAATTTTTTATTTATTAACATTCAATAGAATAATAAATTCCTTTTTAATGAAATAACAAAAATGAACATAATAAATTGCCATAGATTTCCTAAGGCGAACTCTGTAATTATTGTTAATATTATAATAATTAATTGATTATATAAATATATACTGCACTAAAAATAGTTTAGAAATATAAAGAAAAGTTTGCCTAATGAATATATTTTGTTAGTATATAAAATTTTATGATCAAGGCAATAAGTAAAACTGTTTGAATTGCTTAATTCAATCACTTTTAATGCAGTGTATTTTTTTTAAATTTAAGTGACACGTGCACCATCAACTCAGACGTCAAATTATATTTTTCGAACCAACTTCTAGTCATTAGTTTTGATGGAGGGTTTACTTTTTCTTAGTGGACCAGCAGCCATCACACATCTTTCGATCGATGATGATTTCGCAACTTTACCGAAAACGCCTTTTTATAGACCACTTGAAGAGGGTGCAGGACAAAAGGTTACCGTGTGCACAGGATGTCATATGGTCTTGTTTTCTTTTCCCGAGTCTTACTTTGGTTCGCTGCTTTTAGATAATAATGATCTCGAGAACACTATGGTTGAAATTAGTATAATACGAAGGTAGTAAAAATGTTATTATGTTATTTTATCAGATCATTATCCGAAATGTCGTTCTTGAAGACCCTTTGGGTTCGTCACGGACGTTGACTATACTGTCAAACCTCTAGACATACCTCTGTTATTTTACATAAAACATTGTCCGCGAGGACCATATTTTAATAATTAATTTAGTTAATACAATAAAATGTTCTCTTGCTAATCTTATGTTTGTAATACTATGAATCAATTTTAAACTACAAAATAATTCAAAATACAAATTGCAAAAGTGCAAAACACAAAATTAAATATTATATTGGACGATGAATTTTACTAAGTAACTATATACGATTATTAGTTTAATAAAAATAATAATATATATATATATATCTGAAGTTCTTATGGCAGACTACAGATAACAAAATATATAAACATCATTTTTCAATTGGTCAAACACATATATGAATAATATGAAAATTGTAGATTAATAAATCTTGTTAAGTAGAAAATTCAACAGAAATACTCAAAATAACTAACACGGTATAACTATTGATCAAAATTATAGCGACATAGTCATTTTATGAAGGTTATTTGCCCCTAAACCTGTTGGTAGTATACGTCCATAAGGCACCTTGTTAGATCGTATCTGTGCCTCTGATGCTTTGTCGTTATCGGCTTTTACACATAACCGGGTGGGCTTAAACATAAATCTCGCGGACCATGAGCCTCCGACAATTTTAAATAGCGTTAAAATTGTTAAAAAAAAAATTGACACGCGCGTGCAACAACGTTTAAACGTGCTTGTCATCTACAGCAGTCAACCGGTGTACCGGCGAAAATTTACGTCCTCTTTGCACCCGAATATAATGTACGGCATAGATACCTAGCGACGATAATGTTCGAGATACGACATCGGATAGCAGTTCCCACGACAAAGCCGACTGTGAGCCGGTCGGTATAAACACACTGCCACCACTGTGTCTTGGTCGCGGCCAATAAGACCGACCACCCGGAGCTTTAACGCGTACTGGCTACATATGAAAAATTGATAAAATGTATAAAACCAGGTAATGTGAATGGTAAAGCACCCGAGCGTAATGTTTTGCGGCAAATGAGTTTCCAACAAATTCGTCATCGTTGGTAATATTTATTAAATATTCACATCTCATAATACGTTGCCCAAACTAGTGTGTTTAAAATGTTGTATTTTTCGAAAAAGATGTTCGGCCACCATCCGTAAGACGAGTAACCAAGTCTAAAAAATTTTATCGAAGGTAGCCAAACAAAGTTTCTAGTCCGTTGGATATCTAGGCGACTAATTTCAGTGTGTGGTTATCAGCCGGATGATTGGCAATCGGCTAAAACCCTATCCGTAGCAGCGCCTTATATTAACGACATGAGGTTTCTGATTACAGTTTTGATACATATTATCAGCATCAGATGCCACCAACGGCTCGTAACAAGCCAAACGACGCTCTATCCGATTTATCTCACTATTTTACGCGTATTAATTAATTAGGTATTATTTTTCTCTTCTGGGACGTTCAGTATTTTTTTACACGTATTCACGCATCGATTCGCGCTATAGATATATTATGATATAATGTTTCAAATCGCTGTAATTATTTACTTTATCGTTATTATTATTAACGCGTCGAGTGCCGGGGCTACTTCATCGACCCTGCGGGTTAGTCGGTTCTGCGTCACACAGCTCGTTCGTGTTGCGTGCCCAAAGGACGTTTGTGTGCTGCACCAGCTCATCACTTCAGGTGTTTTTTCTCGTGTGCCTCCGCTGTCATCTCGTACGGAGCAACTGTAATTTATTGTCAGTTGCATATTCGCAACGGCAAATCGAAGTGTAATTATTTATTTGACACACAACGGCAAAATGTCAAAATGTTATCACAGGAAAACCGTCTCAGCCGACGATAATCTCTAAGTTATCGATTATTATTAAATAGAAAAAATTGTGCGAATGGAATGCAGAACCTTGAACAGGCCCATTTGGAATCCGCGTATTAACACACCCGTCATTTCACCTCTACACGTGCGTATACGCACACACTCAATAATAAACATTATACTAATTATAAACAACTGTGTATATAAAGTTCTTACACGCGCATAAATCTGTTCGTGTATATTCTAGTGAATATATTTTGACTAGATTTGAAACATCATGAATACATAATGATCCGGTAGAAGATTTGTCAATAGAAGAGCAAAACTGTGGGAACTAAAAAAATGTTTTCTCTACTTTTGGTATTGTACGAGTATAAATTAATTTATTGCATACTTGTGTAGCCAAACTATATTTTTAATTATCGATTCTCTGTTGCCGAACCGGTAAAACATGAAGAAATTAAAATCAAACGGCTTAGTGTGTTATTAAGGTATCAAGTGGACTGGGGAGGGAGCCACACTATAACGCCTCGTACTAATTTTCCACGACGCCATCAAGGAAATTGATCGGTTTATTAAAACCCTTGGGACTAGATGATTAACATATAGTGTATTTTTAAATTGCGAGCACACGTAATCATAATAAAAATTAAAGCACAGCCAGTATCCGGTCACTATCGCATGGGCCGCAAGTAAGTAGCCTCGACGTTACGTGTTCCACGTGATTGTTTTGATCTTAATTTCACGTATAATTTGAGTTAAAAATATATATACAACATAATATCCACTAACCAATCTACCTCATTGTGCTGAGATAATAACAATCTGAATGCCCCCCAGACTGGTTCAGACGTATTATTAAAGACCCATAATCTTACGTGACCCTCGAAACGTTAAAAATCATATCCGACCCAGAAGTTGTGCGTGGATCTTGTCTTTGGCTCTTCTCTAGTCACGACAGTTAAATTGTCTTGGGCTACCGACGGTATATTATTTACCATTAGTTTATGTTAATCATTTGAACGATTATAACCGTTAAGATCAGAACTCTATGATCGAAATGGCTCCTAACGTGATTTCACTATGATCCACTTGANTTAGCTTCTAACGTGATTTCACTATGATCCACTTGACGACGTCAATAAAAATTAGTGACTAATATAATAAACCTAGCCAATAATTATATTTAGTTTATTTACAAATGCGTGAGTTAATTAAAACCATACAATTTTTTTATAAATATTCGATTCCACAACCTGTGTGGTCCATAATAACCAAGTTATAAAATAATTAACATAACAATATACGAAATATTGAAATAATCATCATATTTCTTTACGGTACCGTCATAATTATCAGTTTATAAATAAGTAATAGTAATAGTTAATAAGCATATTAATTTTATATCTCACTGTTAATAAAATCACCGTGTTTATTTGAATTTTTGCAGTGAAATCTGATACTTTTTTTTATAAACGTAACCAACTCATTGAAACGACACGTTTATTACTGAACTTCTAAGATTATGACGAGTTTTGCAAGCTCATAATTTACTCAGTGGTTTACAACTGGACGTAAATGGGTCAACTTTTTAAAAAGTAATATTTTTTCCTACCTTAATATGAGTCATTCTGTGATAATATAGATTGGAACTGGCAGTAAACCGTTTTCCACAAACACCACATTGGTGAGGCTTTTCACCACTATGTATTCGTCTGTGTGTATTTAACGAACTGGATGTGGAAAATCCTTTATTGCATACAGCACAAACGTGAGGTTTTTCACCTGGAAAATAAAGTTGATATCAATATTAGCTCGTGATAAATGATGATTACAAAAGATGGATGAAAAAAAGATAATTTACAGTTGTGTTGAAGTAGCGCAGTGATGGTTTTTAAAAGTATACTTAAAAACTCATGAAAAAAAAAAAAATCATAATCGGATAAAATATTAAAAAAGATACATTCGAGACGTACTCATCAATTATGAAGTATATAATTTTATAGTGTTTAATTTTCTGCGTACATTAACAACGACAATTTTTTGTTTAGTTTTTAATTATAACTACAAGAAAATTATGCTTTCATAGGAAACATTAAAACATTTCAAAATTCTGATCTATGAACTATGTTATTATAAATATATAATGATTATAAACGTTTCAAAATGAGCGAATGAAAAGTTTGAAAGCTAATAAAATATCACCCGTATTAAATAGCATCGACTTACCAGTGTGTGTCCTCATGTGTCTCTTTAGTAACGACGGTCTGTCAAATGCCTTGCGACAAACCTCACACGGCAATAAGGTGCGCTCTCCTCTGAACGGTCTCGATTTTACCGGAGTCGTGCTGATCGTATGGATATTGTGGTCGATCGTATCTCCTGATAGTGAATTTCCCGAGGTGGATTCATCGGAAAGAGATTTGCGCTCGTCGATATCTAAACCACTCGGCGGCGATGATACCGATGAGGCGGAAGACGTGCTGAACACTCTGGACAATAGTGACATAGACAAGTCCAGAGGTGAATCTAAAATAAAATACGTATAGACATAAATAATCAAATTACTCTTAAATGTTGTTGGACTCATAACTACATTTCAATATAGATGCATGAGAGTAAGTTTAGGTTAACGCGTTGTCTGTTTGATTCGATGACAATACGGAATATCATATGGTTTTTTATGTTTGAGGCATACATTTAATGACTACCGCGAGTTTAAAATGTAATGTTGTTCTACAACGTCAGAAACGTAAAGTTTGTGCGAATAACAACCGAGACATTTTTTTTCATTTAAAACGGAATATTTTCCGCTTCAAATGAAACAAGTCTTGGTGAATAATTGTCGTACAATATTATTTTTATTATTCACTGGTAATGTAATAGAAATCGTTTATGTTGAACGCGCTATTCTTAGTTGCCGTGGACTTGAAACGATTGCTGCGTCCCTAAAGCGACATGGTCGTTGTCTTCATGAGCAGACAGACGCAAATCAAGTTCGTGACACTATGCATATCCACCGGCTGTCGATATAACGCACAATACTCGGACGGCCGCCAAACAATAGAAGGACGTGCCGCTACCGTTTGCAATTGAACGCCGCCGACTGTACAAGCCCATATCACCGCCGCCGCCGCACAATCACCAATAGCCACCAGAACAATGGACAAACCATATAATATATGGCACGGCAGTATTGGTCTCAGATTCTACTTCTTTCTCCCTCGTTTCAGTTCTTTATACGTATGATTTTCTATGCGTGCGCGTACTTTTTTTTTCCATTCGAATAAGACTATAAACAGCACCTGAGTCGTTAAAAGCGATTCTCGATGGACACTGACGATGTTCGGCCCGGATTCGAATTCGATCTGGGAATTACCATATAATCACAGCGCGTTTGAAATTTTCCATCGGGTACAGTCGCACTCCCAATGAATACATTTCGCTTTATTTTGTTACGAATCCATTTGAGCAAATAAATAACTGCAGTCGAGTTGATGTTATTTTTGCAGTACGTATAAGGAATTGCGCAAGGTCGTGTAATGTAAAACTTGCAATTACAATCTATTGGATCGTTACGAGGGGACCTTTGGTTGTCGCCTAAATCGCGTAGTTGAAGATCAGTAATTTAATATGTATATACATAATTTTAAATAAATACAATATATTATCAATATTCAATATCTGCTATTGAATTTTTTTGTTGGAATCAACTTCGAATAGATTTTCTATGAAAATATGACGAGTTTTTAAAAAATAAACGTGCCTTACTGGATACCGAGACAAATATTTTTATTACTGTTATTAATATTAATGAAACAATGTCCATATGAAGCGTGACGCGTAACAGCATAGTCCAGTAACCATTTTTCCACTGGTCTCAGATGATCGCAGATCCATTGACGAATGTAATTAGTTGGGTGAATCAGTGGTGGAGGAGGCGAAAGAAAAAAAAAATGGTAATGTATTGTTGATGTGGACATGGCTCGTGCGTGCCTAATGTACGCTTGTTAGATTCGAGAGGAGAGAATAAAAAAATAATAATAACACACACGTGTAGCGCACACGGTTGATGGCGCATACCACTCGTGTTTACAATAGTCGATAGTTATATAGATGCGCTTCTAGCACGAAGATTAACTAACTCCCGGTTAACGCTTGTCCGTAGTCAAAGAGGAAGCAATGATTTCGTGTTGAGATTTAAAGATTGAGAAAACGAGGTGTTGTCGAGACAATGGTCCAAAGTGTGCCCCAGCGTTTGTAGGTCATTATTGCAGACGTCACGTTTTGAGATTGAAAAGAGTTCTGACTTTTCGGACGGCTATTCTTTTGTCCATCGACAATTCTGATTCCTTTCAATTTGAAGAAATAACCACTGACTGACAACCGCCGGTCAGACACGGACATCCATAGAGATCCAAAATGCGTGCGCGTTTTTTACCTCTTTTACAGTCCGTTCTCTGTATAAAATCTCGATTCAAGTCGGGCCACAATAGAACACAGTACAGGAAACAGTCGATTACTTTATATCGACCGGATGTTGCGTTTTCTATAGTTGGTACTCGAAAAGCTTCGCGCAGTTTTAGTTGATAGCACAACTACAATTTATTCGATATTTTATGATCACGTATCGTTTTGATCTAAGTACTCTTAGGAACTCCTCTACTGTATACCAGTGTTTGCTCCGTTCGACTATTCGCTGGCCAGTAGGTGTTACACATACACCAAGATTTGTTATGCTTTAAAATAAAAGACGCCATTAACTCCTCGTAATTACTACGTGTATCGGAACTCCATTCAGTAATTTATTCGAATTTCGTTGTAGTCTTTGATTTATATGTGACTGTCATGACTAATTACTATCTTGATAGCATACTGTACGTGAATAATAACACAACGTTTGTGTGGAGCTATGAGATACTGAGTATGAGATATGGAAATATCGTTTCCGGAATTATTAGTACCAAGTGAAACGTTATATTTTCTTACATCGAGTAAAAATGAACCTGAAGAAATACTATATCTAAATGCATGCGTTGAGTATGATTTTATAATTGGACTAAAGTGTTTTCTGCGTAGTTGCTCAGGCACGCTGATTATATTAATCACACGTTACAAGTTAAACTTTCTAATGTATCATTCAAAAGAATTGATAAACTACTTGTAATGAATGACATGGGTGAATATATTTTTATGACCACAATTCAACCGATCATAGTTCAGTTCCAAATTGTTAACTATACTGTGCTATTAGAGTGCATTATTGTTTTCTATAAACTCCTCGGTAGAGGAACGAGCAGGCGCATATTTCAACTGCATTCAATGAAAAGAATAAAGTACATTTTATGCTGTAAATTTGTAATAATATCTCGAGATATGAGTAAATGATTATTTTCTTCGGTTATAACTAACGATTTTTTTCTTCTAACGCGCCACATAAAAAAAAACTCAAGAAAACGCTCGTTTTGACAAAATAAAGCCGAGTTGAAATGCATTCTCCGAGATCTACAACTGTAGTACC